CACCCGTTAGTGGTCAAAGAGCTCGCCGAGACATTGACCCCTCCTGTCACACTCCTGTTCAATACGTCCGTCGCAGAGGGAAGACTACCTCAGGAGTGGAAGAAGGCGGTCATAGTCCCACTGCATAAAAGCGGACGGAAAGAGAATCCGTGCAATTACCAACCGGTCAGCCTGACTTCTGCTCTGGGAAAAACATTGGAACGACTGCTAGCCAAACGGATCCATCAGCATCTGGTAGCCAATGGTCTTTTGTGCAAACAGCAACACGGATTCCGCAAGAGCAGATCTTACTTGTCACATCTGCTGTTGGCACGAAACATTGGTCGCAGAATAAAGTAATATGGCACCCTACGGACGTCATCTTTGTTGATTTCAGTGAAGCCTTTGAAAAAGTGCCACATGATCGACTGTTGGTAAAAATGAGAACCCTTGGTATCGGGGACTCATTGGTTCGTTGGATAGCAGATTTCCTGGGAGGGCGCACATTCTGTGTCCGAGTTTCTCAGACAACATCACGTTGGTATGAGGCTTCTANTGGCGGGCGGTGACCTCGGAAGACTTGATAGCCCTGGTCCACGAGATGGTCTTTGCCAATTAAAGAAGAAGAACCCCGAATAATGTGCACCTTCAGCCTTTCATATCCATCAGCTTACAGCTTACTAGCTTATTGCGAACATAAAAGTACGGAGCAAAACCCTGATTAAATATGCAGGCTTGTGTGAGCATTCCCTACTCTTAACTGGTACCAGTAATTCACCGATATTTCTCACTATAAACCAAATAATTTAGGAAAGAGAGAGAGAGACAGGCACTGGGCTTGGACCAAAGAACCTCCCTTCATCAATTCTGCCCCTCTCCTCAACTTTTCGTGAGTACTTATTTGGAATTCACGAACGAGTCATGCTTGGGGTGGAGGAGAGGGAGGGTGACGGCGGCATTGTCATCTGGCTGCAAACAGTTAAAGATTGACGGTGTGATCACGAATGCAATTTCCCCCTTTGAAATAAGACAATGACTTTCAGCAGTGACTTTCATTTTCGAGATTATGATCTTTTTGTTCTCATTCATATTGCATTCTATCGTGTAATTACCCTCGGATAGATGATGCGTGCATTTTGTTACTGTTGATTGCGAAGATTTAGTTATCGAAACTGCAAATTATGTCACGTGATTCACTGAGAATATTTTATTCGTGAAAGATCTGTTTAGTGATCGATAAAAGCTCCTAACAATGAGGGTTCGCAGTTCGAGACCAGCCCGGATAGTGTTGGGACGTGTGTGTGGGGGTGGAGGACATAAATAGTACGCAATGTTGATGAATCTCAAAGGTGAATGCTCCCTGTCGATCTTCTTATTAGTTTCTCTCCCTATTTCATTTGTATACACAGTAGGCCGTTACTACAATAGGAGTTCAAATTTCTTTGATTCAATTCATTTTAGTGTCATTAACATTCATCAATACAAGCCTCTGACTACAGTAGATCTTCCTTGCAAATATTTGGGCAGATGTATGCATTAGAGCCTGAACAGTGGTCACCTGAGGTCAACAATAACTTATCGCACACTATCACTTACAAGCAGCTGTGAATTGACATGGAAATTATTCATCAGTAGGGTTAAGCCGAACACAGTTAAGGTATTGTGACAAAAAGGTTGCAGCTTTATTATCGTTTGGGTGTATGGCACCAAATCCTCAATGTGCAGTATTATCATCAAGCAGAAATATTCCTTGATTTAAAACCTATTGTTCAGATTATAGCGAAAACAAAATGGATCCGATTGTAAATTTGGGAAGCATGGATTCGTAAGGCGAAATGACTCGATGATCAGAGAGGGAGGGGAAATATAATATTTGACTCTTTTCGTGCGTTGGAATGCCCACAAAATCATAATGTCATTTATTATGGAATCGGGTGCTGCCCACGAGAAAATGCTGTTTTCCATTCAAAGCCTCTGATGTTTAGCCTCATGTCCATGAGCCACGGCTATCCGTATTACACACTAGGAACAAAAGACACTTGCTTTGCGTTTTTCCTCCATTTCCTCTTGTCAGTTCTATGACGAAAACACTAATAAGTGTTGGGAAATAATACTGTTTTACTTTTATCTTCAACCATTAGCGAAACCTTATAAAATCACCAATGTCTTTGTGCACGGAATCACCTGGACAACCGTTCGTCTATCCTGGACACCGGGTTTTCATGGGACCCAACTATCCGTCGTAATACCACCAAACTTGGTTCACAATTTGTCGATCGTATCGCACGATAAGATTCGTCGCACGTTGGAAACAATATACAATACACAAGAAAAAGAACGCATGAAAGCACAGCGTTTTGTGCTTCAACTGATCGATCATGGTTATCGAGCCCCAACTGAAACTACGGAAGATCACACGGGGATGGGTGCATCATGGTCTGAACTAACTCCGTCCCGAGATACAGAGGTGGGCCAGAAACATCAAGTTCGTCTGCGGATTGGACATGTCGGTCAAGTGAATCTTTCCGGTGAGAACGTGCTGTATGATCAGCTGTCAAATATAAGGCAAATAAAGACAATATGCAGCAACTTTTACGATGATAAAGTTATATGAATTTTTATAAAATCAGGTTTACTGTTGGAAACCCTCATATCTCATTTACCTAACCTCGCTTTTACATTTATCGATGACGTATTAAGCGATTATGACATCCAATGCTCCCGAATAAGTAAATTTCGATATACAAATTTATAGTACTCATGAGTAGCACAAATGTAATCTAGTAAACACTTCAGAATACTAACCTAGAGTGGAAATCGTCATAAAAATGTTTAAAATAACAGAAATCAAAACATCAATATTAAAAACAGTACTTATTATGAGTATAATCATGAGAAACCCATAGTTCTCAAGCAAAATCATTTGCGGTTGAGTTGAAAAATTTTAGTGTTATTATTAATAATTGTTTGAATAGAAAAGTTCTACAAGGTAAGGTATTGATTTCTCGAACCGACACGAATTCTCATGCGATTCTAAAACATACTACAACAGTAGTATATCCGTACTGACAATCCCTAAACTCCTATGCATGCACCGTACGTCCGTTTCTTTGATAATATATACAAAACTTATAACATTATTATTATTGTTATCCTGGAACCAATGAGGAAGAAAACCTGTAAATAGAGTCTGAAAAATATTTTTGAATTTATCAATCCAATCCGAGGACACATGAGTGTCAGAGACCTGACAGTGAGTTCTTTGAACATCACATTTTACAAATGTGCCGCTCTTTGAGGCGATGCTTTATCTCTGCCAGTACAGCGATGAAGAAAACATAATTTGGAATGCCCACGGAAAACATGAAGAAACTATTGCTGCGAAGTACATTTATTACGCAAATTTTCTTCTATTGGTACAATATGTAGACAGACAGACGGTTTGGTCATGGGTTTCCCACATGGCCCGCTTCTGGCAAACGTGTTTGTAAGTAAACCGCAAAACAGCGAACCACGGGACATCATTTATTAACTCTCATTATAATACTGTTATTCCGACCATATATTTTTCCGGTCAATGGATTTTACTGAACATATTATTGGATCATTTTAACCGACCTCACCCGTCAATAAATTTTACGACAACCTGGCTCGGGATGCGATTAACTTCTTCGAAATAAACGTCAAGAACGAACCAAGTGGAAAGTTATGAAGTTTTATTTTTCGCAAACTTAAATTAAACGGTCAATATACCCATTTCGAAAGATTCATTCCAATAAAATTTAAACATATGGTAAAATATCTGGCATTTGGAACTTGAATGATTTGCCTCAAGAAATTAGTAGATGGATAACTAAGAATCATCGAATATACACTCCTGAGCAACTGGTACCCGGAGCTTTCCACCGAGAATAAAATTACATTAAATTCCACGCTACCAAAAGCAACTACGGCCAAAAAGAAAAAACTGTTCTTGCAGCTCCCTTGTGACGTAACGAAATGTTTGGGAAAAGCAATCATAATAATGTATCCCCCAGTCACTCTGCGTCCACCGTTTACCAGCCGGCTGCGGCTCTGTGAAAACCTCAAGGATAAATTATACATCCTCTCCTCACCCATGATTACATAGTCCTTCACTTTCACATGTTCAACAATTTATGTAGGACGAACGATGAAAGCAATTTCACAAAGGATCAGAAAACATACACCGTTCTGGTTAAACACGGGATGCAAGAAAACAAAAAGCAGAGCGGTTGTAGCCCGCCTCACTGATACCGGGCAACATGCAGACAACGATGCATTCTATGTCATCTAAAAACTGTCCCGAAACTGCTTTACTTTAAGTTTGGCAACGTCACTTAGCAACGATAGAAGCAGCAACAATCAAAATCCTAAACCCACCATTACGGAGACAAGAAAATGGTTGCCACTCCAGATGCCTTTTTTCCGCCCCAATCTACGCGATGAACTGAACCAGGACCTCTATAATTTCGTGTGAAAGTAACATGGAGTGACTAGTCGAGCTGGACAAACAGTCACTGGAGGTTTCCAGAATTGACCCAAGTCCCCCTTCCTCTTTTCTCCTTGTGCCCCTATAGAACATGACAGATGCTCTTGTTCATTCCCATTTGACCTTAATGAACCAGTCACGTTGCTCTCGTACAGATAAACACACAGATGTAGACGCCTGAAGACGAAGTTATGAAAACAGACTTGTTCCTTATATTGTTTGTCTTTTGATATTCTTTTGGGGATCTTCTCTCAATTAAACATGCATTTAAAAACAGTAGAGCGGCTAAATTTTTGTAAAAATTGATTAAATGAAGTTACGAGTGGGTGCCTTCTGGGTAACCTTTACCACCTACTATTCTCATTCTTTTATTGAAACAAAGTGATTTTAGACTGCAATGGATGATTCCGGATCCTGTATCACCACTTGGTTACGGTGCGCGGGTTGCGTTATCGACTTCACCGGGGTCATTCATTGCGAAACTTGTCATAACAACCAGACATAATTGATCCCGCTTGCTCTTACAAACCGTCATTACGTAACCACAATGCAAGTCGTTTGACAATTATTGGGGCATTTTAAGCAGATTACATTATTTCGAGCTTTTTCGATTTCCTCTTTACCCTGTTGTCAATTACTCATGTTTTAATGAAGAAAAGATGTTGAGTCTCAGTAGGATTCTCACGTACGTCACCGTACCAGATGTCACTCCATCAGCTTTAATATTTTCACATTTGGTTCACTCATTGCTACGTACGCATTCGACCGTCGACTCTTATTGATCGTCGAACACGTGAAGCAGTTGTTCGTGACACATGCTGACTATTATCCTTGCAGGTTGTTTTGTCCGTGAATCAACTTGACCTAGTTTTAAGCAGTCTTTTATCGATCGATGTATTCTTATTTAGTAGATCATTAACCCGGCTCCAACACGCCCGCTGTCTTTTGTGTTCGGATTTCTTGTGTTTGGTAACAGGACCCCTAACAATACTGTTCATTCGCGTTACGAATGGAACTTGGTCTTACTATTTACCCAAATAGCACAAATTAGTATACTAATTTTTTTCTGGCAGTGGTTCCCATGTTTCAACCGGAAGAAATCTTAGACTGAAATAAGTAATCAAATTATGTATGTCAAAAACACTTTATCGAGGCCTTTGAATTCGGCCATGACCTTTACCTCGAAAATTATTTTACACCTTTGGGGGATTTCTTCATCATCAATCACATCGTGATCAATTTCAATGCTTTCATACACGAGCACGTTCATGAAATATTTATGTTATTGCGTGAACCGTACTTATTGTGAATTATCCCAACAAAGTGAGAAATCAGTTCAAGCGGATTATCAAAATACAAGGCGACAGGGGAAGAAACCATCTCTCAGGTTGGCTATGTTGGGAAAACTCGACGATGTACCAGACATCGCACGAAAATAGGGGTACGCAACTATTTGGATTATTAGGATACAAGAATAGTGACTTCACGAAGAAATTCCCAGTAAAATTGTACAACTGTATGGATATTAATTGTATCGGGTTGACCGACCCGCGAGTGTCCATAAACGAGGCGGAGATGTTGCAAGTTACATCAACAACAACTAGAGTGAATCAAATCTACGAATACTCAAAGGATAAAATCAGTTGTCACGTAAGCCTCGTTTTTTGAGTGGGCTTCGTTCCATATTTTTGGGAACTTTTACCTGGCACCAACAAGATCAGCATCTGACATTAACAGATTTTCTGATATTTATTCTTCCTTCCACATAGCACGAACAAGGGACTCTTTGTGTTTATTTGTTGGTGATTTTAATAGATATGATGTAACTTTCCCTACCCCAATGGGTCTACAAACTTTGATAGATTTTCCTGGCAGACTCGATACACAACTGGGTTTCGTTTTTACAAATGAACCGCAGGTTTTCAAAATCCAGAAACGTGCTCCCCTGAATAAATGGGATCATAAAATTGTATCCAACCGTACAAAGCAAAACTAACCAGTACAAGGCTTTTTAGAAGACCAACCAAGATAATGAATCAAAATGATTGTTCATCGGAGAACCAAGAAAGGCTAAGATTCCTGANCTAAGATCCCTGATTGCCGCCACAGATTTTTCGGTGTTTCCAGATCAGAATCCTTCGACCTCTCTGAGCATGTTACTGACAAACCCTTTGTTGCCTTAAGCGTTGTTGCCCACTCAAAACGGTCTTCATCCATACAGATAAATATTCATCACCGTTACTAAAACAGCTACGCAGGAGGAAAAGACAGGCCTAGAAGCACGGACGGAGAACCCTTGTCAAGTGGCCCACAAGTTTTATCAAATCTGAAATAAATTGGCTAAATTAATTGTACATAGACACTATTCTGGGAAACATTATATTTCGTGGCATGTGAAGAGCTGTCAATCGCCTGCGTGACAGTAACAATAAACACAAAAGAGAACCTGCCGATGTTGAAAGACTAAATTCCGAGTTTAGTTCAGTGTCATAGTGCATAGCCCTGCCAACTTGGTCAGCTCTACGCTGCCACCAACTATGGAACCCACCACGGTCCTCCGACAGCTACGGAAAACGAAGAAGAATTAAGCATCTTGTCCAGAGGAACTATCACCCATGATAATCAAGGTTTATGCGGACGCTCTTTCAGTCTCCTTGTCTAAAATATTCAATGGCTGTCTGAAAAGCAGAAAAGATCCCTGACAGTTCGAGACTGGTCAAGATAACTACAGTCTCGAAAAAGGAACCTGAGAAATATCCTTTCCATCGCCCACACGTCATTCATACTCAGATTATTTGAGAGATGCTTCCTGGCGTGCGTTGTTATTGAGTCTGCCGAAGAGGACATACATCATTTCGCATATCTTTCTTCGCGCACAACACTGGATGCTCTTAATTACCTTGTTTATTCAATAACTTCGGCTCTAGATAGGAAAATAAAGACCGTCACAATGAGGTTCTTCGATTACAAAACGCATTTGGCAGTCTTGATCGATCGGTATTGCGCAATAAGATTATCGAAAGTGGTGTTAAGCCAAATTTTTTCAGATTGATCAGAGACTATTCCACGAGTAGAAGGTAGTTCAAATGCCTCAATGGCAAGATATCTTCAACTTACCCGGTTGTCTCTGGTGTTCTGCAAGGTGCATTCCTTAAACCATTTTTCTTTTCAGTGTCTGTCAAACAATTGCTCATTCCTTCTACATTCATTGACTATAAATACGCTGATGATGTTGTTTTAGGATGAAAATCATCCGTCCCTGAAGAGGCTTCAGAAATTCAAAGCCAGCTAAACGACTTTATTAGTTGGTTCTTGTCCCATTCTCTCTCATTAATTGCCTCCAAATATCAGGATGTGTTTTCTCTGCTGACCGATGAGCCATATTAATCCCTCAGAAATAGGTTTCTCACCGTTCGTCTCTCTCGCTCTATATATATAAAACACCAATCTTTACAGATACTATGGGTCAACGAAAAATATGGGTACAGAAGAGGGGGCAAATAGTCGACTTGGGGGAATCATGAACTCATACCAACATCAACAATGGTGAAGTACCTTGCAATCGCACTATCACAGAATTTATCATGGTCGCTGCATGTTCAAAACACATTCTGCAAAGTTAGAGAGCTTTCATATTTCTCACTCCGATTAAAAATACCTTCTATTCCTCACAGACTGACTGTTAGGTTTGTGGATGCATGCGTGCTGCTCCACCGGTTTTACTACTCCCCAGTGATCCGCCCCGGTATAGTGAAAAAGACTTTTATTTACTAGCGAGATCTCTGAAACACGTCTCTTAATGTAGTGGCATCGTCAGGTATAAACTTGAAGGCTCTATCATAGACAGAAATCTATAAACATGTGAAAGTGTTATTGCCAAAATCTTTTCATACAGTCATTACTCATTACAAAACAAATTTCCAAAAGCGGTATCTACATCCACACGGTCAAGGTTCAAACTTCTATTTGCACATAACTTTTCATATCATAATTCTGGTTGGCCATATCTAGCAAGTCTACTTGTTCACAAGTGGAACTTTTCCACAGAAATACGTAATTCCTTGCTTCACTGACGATATCTGCGATATCTACGATATCTACTGCTTTCAGTTTTATTTTGTAAATTTGCATTCACAACTAAGGTTTAAGATGCTGACAATTCACTCATCCGGGTGCACACAGCTACTACTGACCTGAATTAATTTGACTTATTCGTTTCTAGTTTCATTCACTATCATTCAACACAGCGCTCTCACCGTTCTCTGCATAAGTTGGAAGGCCAACTGCCCGCATTCAGTAGCGTCTCATTTTCACAGAGGTGGGTAGTTCATTATGCGCACGGGTGCTAAACGTGTCATTCTTACGGAAGCTATTTTCAGGTACAGGATTGAATTAGTCAAATGCAGGTCACAGAACTGATATACCACTTTTTATTCTTATTTTCTCAGGTCTTCTTCCGTCGCATGTATACACAGTCACGATTCGCGGAGAGAACGGATACGGTGAAGGACCTGGCTCGATACCTGTGCAATTCACAACACCAGGTAGGTAATGCTGGATCGAATAGGAGGCGAAATCTAGACTGAGTGAAAAATCAACGCCGAGCAGTGTTTAGAAAGAAAACCCGGTGGAAGGTATACCCTGAGAATGCATAACGAATATCACGAAGAGTTAATTTCAGATCATTTTAATTTTTTCAATTCAGAAATATCAGTTCTCAAATTATTGTCGCGAGAGGTAGCCTATCATGAAAAGCACAACATGCAACCGATGTCAACAGTGCGCTGTGCAGTGAAACAACGAATTTTACGCGAACGGTTAACACCAAGCGCTATGTGTAATGCAGACAGCAAGGAAGGTGCTTGAGAAGACTAAATCATTTGAATAGATAACCTATAAAGGAATTTGATGCCTACTTTGCCCGCCCATTGTACCACAAATTAAAGCACCGAATTGCTTATCTGTTGAAAATATCAAGTCTAGGAGAAGGATTTTATCGTTTGTGATTCAATTAAGATGACATGTATTGATACGTCATTGTGACGATTATCAACCAGGACTCTAAAATTCAAATGCATACATACATACATACATGATGTGCGTTGTGGTTCTGCCTGCGACTTTTATAAGTGAACGATCAGTGGTGACAACGTCAACGGCCTCACCATTATGTTTCTCACCACTTAAAATCATACAGTTAGAATTTTCGGTTGTGATAAATGAACATTAAGTTATGGGTCTATGGTTTTGACCTACTGCTCACTTTTTTGGTGTACAGTTAAAGTATTATGAAACCATTGATACCACGAGTCGGAATTCTGTGGCTCAGTTATCATGAACAAGAACGCTGCAAAACTCATAATTGTTGCTAAATGGTTCCGTTTTCAGATTTAACTGTACCACAGCCAAAAGGAATCACGATTGATCGGAATTCTGGGTTCGTGCATCTACCAGCTGACAATCCTGCTTTATGTGCCCAAATTGAACGCATGGTGCAAAATTCGGCCATGTGGTTACCCGTAGAAATCCCGCATGCTGGTTACGTTATCCAAACTCCGGATGGACAATATAAAGTCAAATACCCAAGTGAACATACCGTGGGCTCGAAATACTGTGTACGTTTAATCTGGGACATGGAGGTGAAAATTCCGATGGAGGGACAAAGCGCGTACCGAATAAAATACTGCCATACGGGCAATCCAACCAGATGTTCCACCTTTGTATATCCCTCCAGAGGTAAGCGGACCCAAGAAAACCAATATTACTACAATCACTAATATCTTTATTCAAATCGTTACCAAAGTAAGGAGATGTTTTACAAAACATAACGAGCTTTCCACAAGCTATAACCCCTCATTTAAGTTCCTGGTCCAACTACTCTCTTTTGGCCAATAACTTGAAAACCAATGGAGAGCAGACTATTACAAAACACAAAATAACGAGAGAATATCAAAAGAAGGCTATAAAATTAGAGTAAACTCTGTATATACAAAAGCGAATACGACCGGTAAATTCGAGGCCTCTCTTCAAAATTGGTATACCTTCACATCAACTCATGGTTTGATTCTGGTAACCGCTTACTCCCTCTGTAATAAGTATGTTCGGTAACTTTAGCACCAGATCTAGGAACAGTTGCATTTCATAAAGTTGGGGAGAGCGAATATTGTGATCGTTAGCGAGTAACTGTCATTCTTCGTTCAATCAGAGCGATTCTGATCCCATAATTCCACAAAAAGGTGCAGTGTTGCTTAAATGCGACGATGATACCCTACCAGACAGTGGTTGTCTTCGGCCAGCAACGTTTTATCAAGCGCGTATCCAACCGCATTTCTGAGCACTATCCTACACGGTCAACAGGTAGGGTGAATAAATTGAGAACACCAATGACATTTCACACATTGTTGTCACTTGTCGCATCATTCATACGGACTTTCTGACCTCTGAACAGAGTAAAACTGGGAAATCTAGGTTCACTTGAGTTTCAATGTCGTTAGAGCGAAGGCAGTGTGTATCTATCTCCGCAAAACGCCTCTGCACCTTCAAAAATATTTTACGGAAGCAATTCAGCTTCTTTAGCTAAACTCTCGATGTGCGATCACTGCTAAAGTAATTTTGTCGTTAATAAGCGATTCTTCACGACATTACGCTTTGGTCAATGATTCCAGTCTGCAGTGTTATCTTTCTTATAGCATTTCTTGCTCATTCAGCAACACCACTACTCACAGTCAATTACCTCACATGTCCTATTTACAACTGAGACCTTATCCCATCGCTGCGTGGTGCGGTCAAAACACTTTTTGCAGGTCTCTAATCAACCCCAAAAATCGTCTTACATATTCCGTGATTGACATATAATACAATTACAGGTAAATGATCGTTTCTTATAATTCATAATCATGCAGATACAACTTATATAGCAGCGTAAAACCTAATGCTTGTGTGTGTATGTTACACATCACATTCAGAGTTCTATGCATCCGGGATTGTCAGTTCCGTCACGTTCGTCGTGTGATCCAGGTCCTAGGAATCGGTGTTATTTTGTGAATATGTGTGTAGGGGGGGGGGCAGGGAACGGGCTGGTACGTGAACCCAGAGTGGATGGCGTACCTAGATTAGAGGCTTCTGGGAAATGTGTAACATTTGTTGATCGATTCGTTTCAGTATTCCTGTGATTTGTTGTTCAGTCTGGTTTGTTTGTCCTTCTCTGTTGATGTGATTGTGAACTTGCTGTCTTCGGAGACGCTGGCTTTTGAGCGGTTAAGTAGTGTATTCCTACGTGTCCACTGATATAATTGCGGTTCCTTTATCTGTAAGACCGTGTATTATATCTTTATTTACCGGTTGGTTCAAGCAGCTCTTAACTGTGCATCCTTTTAACAGGGCCACTGATAACTATACGGAGTAAAGATTAACTGTCAATGCTGACCGCTTTAGTGGTTGTGTATTCATTCAGATCCGCATGCAACTCACTTTAGGTCGGTCGTATGGCAGCTGTTTATCCGCATGAAAGAACACCATCCGAGATGTCTAAATGAAAATCGTTTCGGATCTATCTCAAGTGTGATTCTCTCTCACTTGGTAGACACGAACCATCATGTGAAGCATGTGAAGTATTCAATATTATTTATCAGGTTCCCTCGAACAAGTATGAATATGAACAGGCAAATCAGAAGACAAACATTGAGAGGAAGTAGTTTTATATACTCTCATCGGTCGCGTAAGCATCACATTGAACATGATAGATGAAGAATGTATATCTAGAAATCTAGTTAGGTTTTATCGTGTGTGTATGCGTGTGTTCAAGTAGGTGCCATACGTTTTTGGCCGCAACGTTGTTTTGTTGTTAGCGGTCGATGTCTGGAGTCGGTGTTTGTTACAATGACGTAGCAATACCGAGAACGCCTTCTCAAGTTTTGGCTTGTGAACACTCTCAACCATGTGGCGTGCGACAGCCGAGGTCGGTCTACCTGATGCTGTCCAATTCTGTGGTATAACCTGAGTCATTGATTCACGCACGTACAGTGCGATTGCTACATCGTTTCACATTGTCATGTCTTTCTCACCCATGACCTTGCACAAGTAAATTCCCTCTGACCGTCTCGGCTATCTGTTTATATATATCATGCATATAATTTTCCACGATTTGCGGGACTTGGAATCCCTTAACCCGATATGAGACTGTCTGATTACCAGTGTGTACCTTTTGTGATGCTCTTGTTATCACGCTTAGTGATGGCACTCCTGCTGTGCGGTCGAATTTCACTGGGCCTGTCTAAACGTCGCGGCTGTGAGTTCTCGCTCGGGTTAGCTGGGTAAGCACCAGGTCTTTTTTTGTGGCTGAACCATCGGACCGATCGATATAAATGAAATCGATCGGTCGTGTGATTTTCAGGCGGCGTAGGGGTAGAAAAGGTTCTGAATCAGATGGTGCTTAAGTGTTGCCAGAGTATCACCACAGGAGAATCAGCTGCGGAACGATGCGACACGGGAAATTCGGAATGGAAAATAATTCGGGCGATGATGACAATGGGCCAACACTTGACTCGTCTAAGATACACGCATTATTTTCCTAAATGGGTTCGATAAACGGATAATCAAAATAAAACTGAACTTGTCTTAAGTACGGAATACAATATCCATTATTATAGGCCCACGGAAAATGTTTCTTGGTATTTTTCCAAGTGACTGTTCTCATGTTGAGCAATTTCACTAACTACGTCGAAGAGAGAATTCTGGAGGAGAGAACAAATATTATGGAGAACTGCATGTTTATTTCATAGAAGTTCTTCAATTTATTGTCCATCCTGCAGCTTGCACAGCCAAGTACGCCCTTAGAATAGCAACTGTTGGAATATTTCCTCCTGCGCTGGGATACTCTGTTTTAGCTCCTCTATCGTTCGCGGTTTACGGGCATAACCAGTTCGCTTTGGATATCCGCAGGATCATCTACTCACAGTCGATCATCCAACCGGGTCTCCAAATCTTGATCTATGTATTCTCACAATACATTCGTGAACGGCCGACCGAGTTCATTTATCGATCGGTCGGATGGTTCAGCCCTAACAAGGGACCTGGTGCTTGCCTAGCTAACCCGAGCGAGAAACCACACTTTGTTTACAGCCGTGAGTCTTAGGCAGGCCCAGTGAACTTAGACTGAACATCAGGAGAGTCATCACAACACAGGGATAACCTGCACTTGACATCAAGAGCATCACAGAAAGTACAAACCGGTAATCAGACAGTCTCATGTCGGGTTGAAGGATTCTAAGTTCCACAAATCGTGGAAAATGACATACATGAAATGTATAATCAGATGGGAGAGAGGGAATTTGCTTGTTTTCGAGGTCACGGGTGAGAGGGTCAAGACAACGTGAAACGATGGAGCAATCGCACTGTACTTAGGGTTGTGGTGGACTATTGCAAATAGCAGTGATCGGTCGGTTCTGCTAATGTATGCTTTGTTGCAGCTGTAACAGAAGGCGTAAATGCAATGGGAGTTAGATTCGACTGAGTGGCGATCTTTGAATGGGGATGGAAAGGAGACACCGTTTACTGGGATAAAAGATGTTATACGGCAGTATGATAGCCTCCTGGTACAGCGTTTTTATGTTGTTTAATGAGCTGGATTGCGTGGCAGTGAGATTTGGATATCCTTTTTAGGCACCCGATAGATAGGTGATTGAGTCTGATTTCTTGTCCGATTATGAAAAGGAACAAGTGATTCCGGATAGTCATTACCTAGTAATTCGCTGCATAAACTCTCCTGTTCGTTTGGTATTGTGTCCCCGTGCATATTTTAGTCGCTCTATGGCATAACGTTCGAACCAAGGCTCCCTTTTGTTCCGTTGGTGAGAAACTGTTTGAGCGAAGATATTTGTTGCGGACCCAGTCTGCCTGTGAAATATAGTTCGATGAACAGAACCGTCACCTTTACGAGTTATTAGGAAATCAAAGAAAAATGGTGAATTTCAAGTTGCAGTGTGCTGTGACGAATTCATCCACCAGTACAATCGTATCTTCAGGCTAATTGAAGATGATCAAAACATCAACAAAGTATTTTAGATTATCAAGCTTGGATTAGCCCATGCGATTGCTCAGAGGCGCCAGGCACTCTTGATGCTCTTTGATGTGGATTTCACTCCTCAGGAAATCATTGATTCCCCACTTGTTGGATGCATTTACATAGAAAGTATCTTTTTATAAAAACGTTCGCTTGATTCCCTTGTCCAACCGTACTGCAGTCATACTCATGAACCAAGTGGGCTACCTATTGCAACACCATCTATCTGTCGAAATGCTTTTCTTTGAAGCACGAAATGCACGTTTTCAGTGCATAGTGAAATAAGAGGTTTCAAAGGTAGCGGTGGTATGATAAGTTTAATTTATATATAAAGTGATCCATCCCTGACATTGAATAGTTAGTGAAAGATGAAAATATTAACTGTTAACAACCCGTGTGCTCACTTACCGCTAGCGCTATAAATCTTTGACTTGGACGACGGACGAAATCCGGATGACCATATCGTAGTCAAGAGAGTCCTAAATGGAATAAACCGTCATGCCTTTGTTGACGCCAACATCCCAGAGCACTTCCATGTGCATACAACCATTTTCACCAGCACGACAACAAGCTAATAAACATTTTAAGCGGAATGGCTAACTGCCCTCGAAATTGATTAGAACAGTTTTGTCTTGGTTGTTTGTCTAGTGCTTCGAACGAAATTCGCACGCAAATTTGCCATTTTTGCAACTTTATATTACCGTGAGTTTCAGTTACGCGTCTATTTGTACACTTTAGCTTTGAAAAAATACGGTATTGGCCCAACTAATTTGTCAAAGCGGAGAATTCAATGTGCTGAAGTCGGAAAAGCAGTGATGTATTTATTCGTTCGTGAACCTGAATATAGCAATGTTGCTAACCCAAGTCGGCTGACGACTCAGTTTTACAGTCTCACCAGTGCCAATTGTACATTGTTACTCCATGTATTCTGTATAAGATGAATCAAACTGAAGTACTAGACATCCAATTGTACTTATGAGTATTGTGATTCGGGGCATTCACTGCACAGCAACATAATCCGTTTTTGTTCTGTAATAAATACTAAATTATGCTATGGAATATTTTAGATTTACTTTTCGAAGAGCAACTGCGAAATGATAAGCAGGCTAGGGAATTTCCAGAACAATAATCTTTACAGCTTTATCTTTCGGCTTCATTCACTACTTAATTTACATAATTAATTCGGTTTTAAAAGTAATTCTTGGAACACCTTGGAAGTGTGCTTCAAACTATGCTCATCATTATGTATTAAATTTGCTCACTATGTTAATCGGTTGCAGCTAAATTTGGTTACCTTAGTGATACGTAGATAGTAATTTTCCCAGTCCGTTTTGTGTTAAAGCTACCTAAACGATTTACTGTTACACAACAAGTAATTATGTCTGTTACTCAGTTGAGCTAAAAGCATTTGACTTACAAACTTGTGAGACAATTTTAATTAAAAATGTGCGGTGGATGGTTTTGGAAAGCTCTTATTTTCAATTTTAAACCAATACCAACCAATTTCATTATGTTGCCTTTGCTTTGGTCACAACGAATGTCAGATCTACCCGCTATGGTTTTATTCGCGGTTGGCGGTGCTTGCGTCTTGGCCGTGTCTATTCTGTTTGCATTACTGACTCACTTCGCCTGGTCCCATTTGAAACGACGTGAAACAAAAAACCTGTGTGTGGCCACCGATTCGCAGTCCCGATCTTCCTATCATGGGTTCAACGAACCATGGTTTACTTCGAATAGCGTACCAGATCAGATAGACGATGCCGGACTTCTCACTCAAATCGCTCCTCTCTTACCCAATATCGATCCGGTGACATCTGTCGGTGGTCCCTTTGGCATAGGACTGACCTCGGATAAGCGAACCTATGATCAAGCTTACCACCCGATTGGGATCATTTCTCCGGAATTCACTTATTCAGAAACTGGAAATCGAAAGCCACCACTTTGAAATTGGTCCAGAACAATTTATGCATTGTTGTTTGAGCAATAGCAGTTCGTACAGATGTCGATATTACTTATGCACCATGTTGACCTGTATTTATATTTATCCCCACCTACCAGACACGTTGACTAACGTCCTTCAGTGTGTACCGCGTGCCTGCCTGTATGCACTTTGTGGGTTGATGAACACTGTTCACTCGGAATTTTATATCACCTAATCAAAAGCAAATGCTTGGATTGGTTGCACTTCGTAATAAACGCCATTGGATGATGATTTAACCCGCTTGTCATTTAAACACCACAGAAACTCGTTATGTTCATTTTGACTTTTCCCTGATGAGTGACTGACACGTGTACAATACACCATTCACGTCTTTCACTAAACACACAGTATCATTGTGATTAAACTGATTGTCCTCGGCGATTCCTTGATTGTATCACTTTTTTGTAACTATATTACTAAAATGCCTTGAAAAAACAAAAGTATTCTTGAGATGCACAACAACCAGTGCAATTCAAATACCACTATGAATACAACAATGCACGACGATTTGTTCTCTTAAAGAAGGACACTTTGCAGGTCTAACTATTGGCTACAACGCCTTAAGTAAGCGCACATTTTCCATACACAGTAACTTCGTGAAAAGAGGAGTATTTATTTTGCTCGAATACTGTTCGGTGAAAGAATAAACTGTGGCTAGGTTTACTTGCTTTCAAGGAGTTGAAAACCAAGTAAGATATAGGGGACTGTGTTATGCAGCATGTTTCCGTAATAGTTGAGCAAACACTTAAAGGTTGGAAAGTTTCCAATTGCTTCTGGCGGTAGACTGTTAAGAAGCGATCAGCGTTAATTGATTACTTTACTGAATTCGCTCTGTACACACATACGGAAGAAGCTGATGGCATAATATTGTCTTTTTCATTAATCGATTGGCGTTGCAATAGTTACCACACAGCATAGATTATCAGTTTCAAAAAGAACTGTGCACTTTTTCAAAAGCTTGTGTTTTCGAGAAACCGATTAAACTGACTTGACAAAGGCCTTCCAAGAAGGTCGAAACGTTGTCACCGAAATATTGTGTTTTTGTATTCACGTTGTGGCTAAAACAAACCTGATTCTATTGTTACCATGAGCAGAACGCCCAAATTTTTCGAAATGATCCGGAACACCTATGGATTATTAACTGTTTAATAATCCCCGGACATTCGGTAGGTCGTTTATGAACAAGAGAAAAATTCGAGGACCAAGCACAGAACTCTGGGGGACTCCGCGAGGAACGACAACACGGGCGGACAGTGAATTAGAGACTCGAACCGACATGATCCGTTGTTGGACAAACGTAGCAATCAAGCACCAATCAAGCGAGAGGTCTCTAATACCAAAATTGTACAATTCACGGAGGGGTATTTCGTGCTTCACCCAATCGAGGGCTTTGGAGAAGTCCAGGTAAACCACATCCACTGCATCCCCTTTGTCTACTACCTTCGTCCATTCATCGCGGACCAGGTCCAGACTGGTAGCACGTGAGCTCTTTTGACGGAATCAATGTTGATTTGGAGAAAGAAGGTCGTACTTCTCTAGGTGTTTGTGGTGATCCAGACTTCCGGGACCGCAATCCATGCACGACTAGGTACAGTTTCATGACATCCAATCACCGTTCAGCAAGCTCGACCAATGGTACACTGGGCGAACGTGACATCCGAGTTAGTACATATGATGCGTCGGCGCAAACGGTTACGTGATTGGACGACGGCCCTTCAACCAATCATATGGCCTATTACCTTCTATAAAACATGCTCTATTTCTATCAATAAACAAAAGCATTTGCTGCTATCAATTCCTCGTGTATTTCATTGGTGTCCGCAGTTTGGGTTGGAGCCAATTCAGTTCTGAGCAGTACAGTGCGGATTCTCGTATACCTAAATTCAATACTTTTCTGATTACTACAGTGGTCTATCAAGAAATCCACCACGATTGCAGCAGACCCTAGCTAATCCATTCAACTAGACCCGTTCAAACATTTCTGTTTTCTACACGCGATCCCTACAAAAATATTGCTCTGTACGAGTTCTAGCACTTCGATTGTCGTGCATGCAAAGGTTTCCACATTGAAAATCAAACTAGAAGTACAATCGATGTGTGTAAGCTGCCGTCATTACTCTGATGACATGCCATCTTTTCTTACATTTGTTTGCTATTGTTACTATTGCATAATGTTGTTTATTTAATAGTCTCCCTTATGTACCTTCCACCAAGTTGAGCATTCAGTTGGATTTAAACGGTGTATGTGCCGCGAAAAATGTGCCGTTCACAATTCGTGCGTGTGACTGTTCACGTGCGTTATCTGTAAAGACCTCAGTCAACAGAGAGGGAGAGCACGATGCATCGAACAATCATGCAATCATATGGACTTGTTTGTAGTCTGGGGCACGTGCTCGAACTGAGATGGATTAGCTGCTAATGGCTTGTGTTTCTGTCACAGTAGTGATGTCTTTATGTGAAAAATTTGAATCTTTTGTTAAGGCGCTTTCGAATTATATCAAAATCATTTATACTAACTGATGAATTTGGATCATTCATCTTATTCAAGACTAATGTAAATTTATCCACAATAAACTAGACTATTCTTGGTAAGGCTGCTACTATATTTGACGACTTCTGTAGTTTCAAAATGAACTTTCTGATGAGAAAGCGAGTTGAACGCATCTAAAAGCACTGATAAGAAGTGTTAAGAGATAACCAAACACTGCTGTGTCCCCGGTTTGTACAGTCAAAATACATTGAGATTGGCTCAATGGTGCAGTTCTTCCGAATAGAGAAACTGATCTCCTGAGGGGTTATCTATCCTAAGTTGACGCCTCGGAGAAGAAATACACATGTGATCTGATGCCTTAAGCTGATTCCACTTGCCATATGGGATATACATGTTTATTTTACTCTTGTTTAGGAATATCAATGTTTAACCAACTACCAAGTCAAGGTGACAACTGAAACCGACATGTGCATGTATTAAACCGCCTCCAACGTGTTTGTGATAGCCGAATCCGATTGGTTTAATCTGACAGTTTCCCCATAACAGTGTATAATGCAATTATGGAACTTATTTCAAGTTGATAAGGTCAGATAAAATCAGGTTTCCCTGGAACAAATGAGTTTTTGCTTACAAAAAGCAAAAAGAGCTTCGTTCTCCAAATTCACAAACGATCGGATGTACGAAAGCCGGCAATTCCTGATGGCAGATGAGAACAAATTCGAAATAATCTTTGGAAATAGTCTACTCCAGACCTTATCCAACTGTTCGGCCTTCTAACAACAAATGTAGCAGTTGGTTATACTCGTCCATTATTACGTTTTCGAATAGGCTAAACCTAGATTGAGCTGTGCTGCAGGATAACTTTTAGGCAGTAGTTTCTGTTTTGTTTATTCCGATGAGCACCTTTAATTTTTGGCGATTCACCATCCGGTAAAGTCATATATTCCTAATATTACGTTAAAGCCATGACATGTTTTATGCCCGGGCAGTTTTGCTGTAGTACAACTGTTGTTCCTACCCGAAGTTAATCATGTGGTCTATATGAACGGTCAGCCGATGAGCGCAAAAACAACTATGTGATCTTTGTGAATCCAAACTCCGGTATCATGACGAAATAATCTGTGATATAGATATTTTCCTAGATGATTTTTGTCCTAATTAATGATATTTATTATGATATATAGACGTGATTATGAATCCTGGAAAAGGAGCCTATTCACCACGTTCCATTTTGTGTGAAATTGCATAAAACACCACATTTCAGATCTATGACTGGACGTTTCTCACAATTTCTTCAGCACAAGCATACGCTCTGGTTTGCGTCTCTGGATGAGGTAGACGGGGAAGCTGACTGTATTGTGTGTGGTGATGGATATGGATGACCGAGTGTTCTTAGGAATTATTTTGGGTAAACAATGATGAACGAGTTATGTAGGCGGATTCCGATCTCTTTGCTGTGACCGAAACGCGACTCCAAATCTTCTAAGACCGATAGCTATGACCTAATTAGAGTTCACTCAAAGCCTCGACAACACCGATCACCTGATTTAACTTCACTAGATGCGAAACGAGCATACTGTGGACGGTCTGTATGAATGAGGAATTTGTAAACGGAACTTTTCATGTTGGATACAAGATCATGTTTAAGAGCGAAACACATAGAGAACATTTTACTAGCACTAAAGAGATAAGGACTAAAACGGTCCGATGCTAAATTTAGGATCACGAAGAGCCCTTGAGATAAAGCTGTCCTTCATAATGATGCTCCTTGAGAGATTGGAAAAAGGAATGTTAATTGACTTTATCCGCAAGGACTTATGGTAGGTTGGTAGGTGAGGAATTATGAAATGTGAAATTCCCAAAAAAGACCTACTTTTATTTGTTCCCAAAGCCTTGTCGGGTGCATTTGGGAACTGACCAATTGGAAATATGCATCATGCTTTGAATGTATGCACATGTTATCTTACAGGGCGCAGGCAATTGTATTCAATAGGATACTATTTTCGTGTAATTGGACACACTACTCATGAGAAGTTGAATACAGAATCCACGAAAAAAAACAGCTAATGGAATCAACGCAAGGTACGAAAACTTCGAAATAGAAAGGTTAATTCCAAACATACGGTCTCGATGTCAAATGCTTCGTATGGTGCCCACGCAGTTAGTCTAAACGTTCTGGCTATTTCAGTACTACCGTAATGCAATTAACGCTAACCAGTTGTCTCGCTTGACATGAACGTGCTGCGGTACAAACAGACCTATTGGCTGGTTTGCATTACTGTCGTTTCTGCCAGTATTTATCAAGTGCTCAGCAGTCGGGATCCGGTATGTACCGGCGGTTCATTCGAAGAGTCACGCAGATTTCTTCAAATGAATTTGATTCCGAACGTTGTTTTGGTTATAGTCACTTTCTATCCAAGCCCAAACCAACATCGAAGGAGACAGTGCAATTAATGTCTTTGGCCTCCGATCT